GAGCCTGCCCAGGCCGCACCTTTCCACGTCTCAGGCAGAGCCCGCTGGGTGGACGAGAGTGGGGCAGAAGCCGGGCTTGTTAGGGCCAGCCCCGCGTCCGGCTGGCGCGTGTGGCCGGATGGGGGCGCTGACTGCAAAGCAGCTCTCGGCACAGGAGAGGCCGTCCCCACACGCTCTGCGTTCACCTGTCAGCCGGACGCAGGAGCTGGCCTTGACCGCACGTCAGGGCTGCTCAGTGAGCCCACTTCTCACTGTCCCCCACCCCGCTGTCCAGGCCGGGTGTGAGCAGGCGGCTTTCCGATCACCCTGGATGTGTCTGGTAGAAGGCGAGACCCTCAGTTTCCCGGGACTCTCCAGGGACGGGCTCACCCCAGATGGCTCTGTCCCTGGGTATGGGGCCCGCAGCGCCCCCCGGCAGGGCCAGGGGCTCGGGGCGCCCCTCCTGGAGGAGGCCGGAGAGGCGAGGGATGTCTCCCCAGAGGCAGCGGTGGTCTGTGGAGACAGGGACTCTAGGGATTTGCTTCTTGAAACCCGGATCCCCAGGGGATGGGCTCATCCCGTGGCGTTGAAGGGGACGTGGGTGACGGAGCCGCCCGGGAGCCCGCAGCAGCGGGACCCCGTGACGAGTGGGCGGTCGCACGCCCTGGGCCCCGGCAGACTCGGTGCTCAGGGCGAACCATCCTGGGTTGTCACCGTGGCCGTGGGAGCCGTGCGCAGCAGCAGCTGGATGGAGAGGCGTGCTCCTGCCCTGCGTGTGCGTGTGTGCGTGTGCTCGCGTGTGCAGGCGTATGTACGTGTGCGTGTGTGTGATGTGCAGTGTGTGTGTGAGTGCGGTCTGCGCATGCGTGTGAATGTCACTTGCTTTAATAACCGCATGACGCGTCCCCTCTGAAAGCCGCCGGGACGGGGACCTCGTCCTGCCTCTGCATTCAGTTCCTACTCGTCCAATCAGAAGCCGAGTGAGAAGGGACTCACACCTGTCTGTGTGCAGGTGTGCACGCACGTGTGCTCATGCGCCTCTGGCTTTCAGAGCTGGTGCGAGGCCTCAGGACGCGTGCACCAACTTCCCACAGCAGGTCGAGGGAGCACCGGCCCCAGGATGGGAGCCGTGAGCCAGGGGAGCACGAAACAGCTCAGGGTCTCTGGACCCCACCCCAGTCCAGGCTCGGGCACCACAGCGTCTGGAGGTCCAGGCGCCCTGCCCTGCCGAGCTGCCCACAGTCACTGCACAGCGGCCACTGCCTGGGGGCTCTGCACAGCGGCTCCCCGCCAGGCCTCGCGGAGGCCGCTGTGGGGGCTTTGAAAGACCCCGGGGTGATCAGCAGGGTTTTTGGGGGCGGGGGTGGGGCCGGCCGGTGGCATTTCCTAAAGCTCCCCGAGCAGCTCCACTCTGGGCTTCCAGAGTGAGACCCCCCTGCCACTGTCCTTCCGAACCAGTGGGAAGGCTGAAGGAAAGCACCCACCTGGCCCCACCGACCCCCCAGCAGGCCCCAGGGGGTCGGGACTAGCGAGGGCAGCACAGTGCAGGCTGAGAACCGCTGGGCCGGTATAATCCGCAGACGCATGTCCCTCAGAGCCGTGCCCCACGCACCACCCTGTGTCCCTCAGCCCACCCCCCAGACCTGCGGGTGGGGTCTGCATCCCTCTCTGTAGCTCCCGCTAATGAGGCTCATGCGTCGTCTGCGAACCCTGATTTGATTAATGATTAAGATGCACTTAATCATTTCCAGGTGCGTTTCTGAAGTGCAAGCTGAGTCTCACCCTGTACCTGCAGGCCTCACCCCCGGGGCCCCCACTAACCCACGGGCCAGGCTCCCCCGTTTCCATCAGGCTCTGTCACAGGGCCCACCACCCCCTTGGCCTCAGGATGCCTCTGCTCCGACGGCCACCGGACTCCCAGGTCAGCCCGGAAGTGCCTCGGCCACAGCGCCTGTGCCACCGAGTGTGCCCTGGCCTCCGGTGAAGTGGGCCCCATGCAGGGCCAAGGCCCTGAAGCAGGAGATGGCCCTGGTGTCTCCGAAGCCACCGTCCTTACCCTAAAGGGATGGCACCCTCCTGGGCCCCACCAGTGTGGCCTCCGCGTGCAGAGAAGTGGCCTCTCAGCGGGACCCCATCCCGGACCGAAAGGCCACCCGTGAGCTGCATGCGCAGGGGGCCGCGGCTGCTCCGAGCGTGAGTGAGGAACACGCAGTCCAGGGCACGGGGTCCTGCCGTCGGCCAAGCCCAGGCGCGTGCTGCCCCCCGTCAGCCGTGCCACCCGAGCGCCCCGCCTGAAGGATGGGGCACGGCGTCCACGGAGACCAGGCCCAGGAGGACGTCCCCGGGGGCCAGCGTGCAGCCGACCTGCGCCTGCTTTTCACCCAGGGCCTGATGGCGGAGGAAGGGGAGGGGCCGGAAGGGCCGAGTTTCCTGTGGACGTGCAGGGGGCGCTGCTGCGAATAAGCTCGCGGGGACCGGCCAGTCCCCTCCTCCAGAGAGCCCTCCCAGCCCGCAGCCTGGACGAGGCCGTGGGCTCTGCAGGTCCTTGGAGCAGGTTTAAAGCCACACCCGTCGGCCCCCTGCCCGGCCCCCACCGCACGGGCAGGTCCTAGCTGCACGTGGCTGCGGCCATGCTCCGTGGGAACAATAGAAGCCGGGCGCCGAATTTAAATAAATGTTTAATTCGTGGGGATGATCGTACGTGTTTTAAAACACTTTTTAAAGCCGTTCGTATTCTCTAGAAAGCATTTATTCCGGGCAGATCATGCATTTTACTGCCGCGGCTTCGCGTTTGCCATTAGCGCAAATTTAGGGGGCTGGGAAGACCAGTAGGTGATGTTAATTCCAAACACAGAAACTAAATATGTTCCGCACCTTTTTATCGCTCGTTTTCTTTTAAGTTTTATGGACCGCTTTTTATCTTACCTGTGTGTCTCTACGTGCTGCGATCACGCTGTACGTCACGGCGTTAACGTCGTATAAAGTCGGTGTTTACAGTTCTTTATTTAGACACAATGCAGTAGGTCTGCAGATAGCTGAGCCCGTCTGGAGCGGCGCCCTCCGAATAATGATAAATTGCTCGTGCAGTGTGCCATTTGCTAATTATATCCATGATTTACTGCAGAGCAAGACTTAAATCATTCATTTCAGTCTTGCGTAACAGTGCCATAAAATTTTTAGGTTTAAAAATGGTTTCCATGTGTATAATTTAAACAAATTTCCAAGCTATTGTATACACAAAGTATCGCAGCCACCCATTGGTTACACACTCTGTCTTTTTAAACTTCTACTTTTAATGATCACTGTGGTTGGAATTATTATGCTTAATTTTCATAATCATAGCTTTTAAATCTACAGCCGTTCTCACATGTTAGATAAAGAAAAAGATAGCTAATTGTGTGTGGATGGTATGTCATCCGAATAGTCCCAAATGGTACAAAATCATTAAAAAAGCTTAAGAGTACGAATTATTCTTCTATTAAAAAACAGTTGTTCTCTAACTAATTATTAGTTCGAGCTGCTTCGGCTCCGCGGAGCGCCCACACCCCGTCAGCGGCAGCGCGAGATGAACATTCTCCTCTCTTCTCTCCTGCCCACACCCTGCAGGTGAGAAGCCCTACAAATGCCCGCACTGTGACTACGCTGGCACCCAGTCCGCGTCCCTCAAGTACCACCTGGAGCGGCACCACCGCGGGCGGCAGGACGGAGCGGGGCCCTTGACCGCACAGCCCCCGAGCGCGGACCCCAGGGACGAGCTGCCCGGCAAGGCGGCCCTGTTCATCCGGCCGGACATCCTGAGGGGGGCCTTCAAGGGTCTCCCCGGCATCGACTTCCGAGGGGGCCCGGCCTCACAGCAGTGGACGTCCGGAGCGCTCTCGCCCGGGGACCACGCCGGGCAGGCCGCCGGCGTGCCTTCGGAGGCCCCTCCAGACTCCCTGAAGGGCGCCGACCTTCCTTCCAAAAGCGGCCACTTCGCCGAGATGGGCCGAGCCTATCCGGGGCCCCTGGGCAACGGCGTGAATTTCCAGGGCTCCTTGCAAGCGTTCATGGAGAGCTTCGTCCTCGGCTCCTTGAAGAAGGAAAAGGACGTGGAGGACAAAGCCCCGCCTGACCCTCCCTCCACCAAAGTGCACGGGGCGGACGGCGGCGACGGGAAGGCCGGCGGGAAGCTGGCCCCTCGGAAGGCGGAGAAGGCCCAGCACGAGCCGCTGGACCTGTCCGTGCGGCCGGACGCCGCCTCGCTGCCCGGCTCCCAGGTGACGCTGCAGGACAGCATCGCGTGGCACGGCTGCCTGTTCTGCGCATTCACCACGTCGTCGATGGAGCTCATGGCCCTGCACCTGCGGGCCAACCACCTGGGCAGAGCGAGGCGCCGAGAGAGCGCCGTGGGGGTGACCGCCGACGGCAGAGAGCAGGCCCGGGAGGCGAGCAAGCTGGCCCTGCTGCCCTTGGCGCAGCCCGGCAAGGAGGTGGCTCTCGCCAGCGCCCTCGGGCCTCTGGACCCTGCGTCGGAGAAGGCGGCCCAGGGGCTGGGCAAGGAGGCGCTGGGGGAGCCCAAGGGCGGCCCCTGGCCCGGCCACGTGGACCCCGCGCTGTGCGGCTTCCCCGCGGGCTTCTACAGGCAGTTTGGCGGTTACCCGGGCACGGCGGGCGCGGGGGCCCCCGGTCCCTGCCCCAGCAAGGGGCCCGATGGGAAGGCCCCCTCGGAAGACGACGGCCTGAGCCTGATCCCCGACACCACGAGCAAGAGCACCACCGATGACCTGTCCGACATCGCCTCCTCGGAGGACATGGACTCCACCGAGGGCGAGAACCACGACGACGACGAGATCGAGACGGAGCCGGACGTGCCACGCCAGCCGCCGCCCGCCCTCAGCAAGGACAGC